GAAAAAATACTTCCAGAGTTTGAATTAACCTCCAGAACACTTGCTTTGGTAGGATAGATAGTACATTTTGGACATTCTTTATAGTCTGTTTTGAAATATCTTTTATTTAACTGCTGCATTTTACCACTTCAAATATGTGTTCTGTCACTAGAAATATGTGGTATAATAAACTTAAAATGAAAAGTCTGAGTGGAACAATGTAAGGAATAAAAAAACTATTTTAAAAAAAGTATTCGAATTTTAATAATCTGGGATTTTTTAAGTCCTTTTATCTTCCTAGGATAAGTGATTTTATTATAGAACTTTTATAGTTTATTTGAAAAATTGCTTGTTTGTTTTCAGTGTCTCTTTAGAATTTTAGCTGCATCAGACCTGTGTTGAATTTTTTTAAAGTGGTATTATTAAACCCAATTCCTCCAAGAGTTTTTTTTTAAAATTTGAGTTGTAGCTTATTTTTTCCATCTAGTAGAGTGACTTTCTTTTTACAGTTTTTATCCTAGTTGCTTGTTATATTATAAGTTTTTTAAAATTCTGTTTTGTTGTTGTTGTTGTTGTTGTTGTTGTTGACCAGTTATGAAAATTGTATTTTGGTTTGTTGAACTCTAGAAACCTGTCATTCAGTAACAGGAGTAAAATGATTTTTCTTTCTTTCTTTCTTTTTTTTTTTTTTAAAGACTATACAATTTTAGTTAGCTCCATTGCCCTTATCTTAAATTTTTAAATGTTTCTTCTTTACTAAAGAGTCTGATTAAAAATGAAAGTTAGTAAAAGGCTGTTCTATAAAAATTTATGTATGGTACTAGGCTATTGTTTTATTTTTCGGGGGAGTGGTCTTGTGTTCTTTAACTTGAGAATTCCGATTTAATTGTAATGCCTTTAAGGGATTTTCATAAAGCTCACATGAGCTGAAATTTCAGCTTTGACAGGAACAGTGGTTTTTCAATGCCAGCTTACAGGTAGGTTCAGAAGCTTCCTGTCTTAGTCCTGTTTAAGGTTATGGAATTAAGAGTCTGTCATGTTATTTTGAGATTCTTTCACATATTTTACTATTATAATGGCAAGATTTTTCTTTTTAAATAAAATATAGAATATTGTAATTGAAAATGAAGGATGTACATTTCCCAGTGCTTGGGCACTCTTTGGTTTACCTTATCTACTTTCAGTTTTTAGTTTCTAGAATTCTATTTGCTTAGGTTGATATTATAGAAAATGGACTTGAGCAATCCTGTAATTTCTGGTTGTAATGTGTTGTTGCTATTGGATCCTGATGGTCTTTACTGGACCTTTCTAACAAACTTTGCCTCTCATGTTGTAAGTTTTATTGATTGATATATTATGGTGCAAATTTCCCATGAGGATAATGGATCCTCACCTTCAGGGGCCCTCACTTGAGTGGTTGTCTTTCCAGGATCTGTGCTTTATTTTTCTTTATAGTTTTGTATTCTTTTTTTAAATTAAAAATTTCTGTTTATTTATATGTATATATTTTTTACATTCCTTTAAAAAATTTAGATTTTAAATATGTGGGGTACAATTCATGGTTAGGTACCCTTGTTGAAGAGGTGTGCCCCCCTCCGGCAGTTTCCTACTACTGCCAGTCCCATCCCTACCCTCCCCTGGCAGTTTCCATTACTGCCAATCCCTTTCTTATAGTATTACAATAGTTGTTCAAGGTCCGTTTATGAGTGAAACATGTGATACTTGGTTGTTTCTGTGATAGATCACTCAGTATTATAGCCTCTAATCCATCCAAGTTGCTGCATTTATAATTTTGTCCTTCTTTATGACTGTGTAATATTACAACATGTGTATGTACTACATTTGTTTTATCCAGTCCTCTTTTGATGGGCAGCATGGTTGGTTCCATGTTTTTGCTATTGTAAATAGTGCTACAATAAACATGTCTGTGCAGGTATCTTTTTCATAGTGTGATTTGAGTTCCTCCAGGTATATTTCCAATAGGGGAATTGCGGGTCGTATGGGAGGTCAATATTTAGATCTTTTAGGAATCACCACACTGTTTTCCACAGAGGCTGTACTAGTTTTCACTTCTACCAACAGTATAGAAGTGTTACCTTTTCACCGCATCCTCTCCAGCATCTGTTGTTTTTTGAATTATTGATGTTGGCTATCCTGACTGGAGTTAAAATCAACTCCAAATGGATCAAAGACCTAAATGTAAAACCTTAAACTATAAGAACCTTGGGGAAAAAAAAAAGAACCTTGGAAAATGCAGGAGACACCCTTATGGAAACTGGAACTGGCAGCCAGTTCCTGATCAAAACCCCAAGTGCCCATGCCATAAGAGATAAAATAGACAAGTGGGGCCTCATCAAACTGACAAGCTTCTGCAAAGCCAAATAAATCATCAAGAGAGTAGGGAGACAACCCACAGTCTGGGTAAAAATATTTGCCAATTGTATATCTGACAAAGGCCTAATATCTAGGATCTACAAGGAACTCAAATGTGCTGAAAAGGAAAAACAAAAACAAACAAACAAAAAAACCCAAAAAACAGCCCCATTACAAAGTATGCAAAAGATACGAATAGACACTTCTCAAAAGAAGACATACAAGCAACCAACAGATACATGAAAAAATGCTCAGCTTCACTACTCATCAAAGAAATGCAAATTAAAGTTTTGTATTTTTTTTCTAAAGGGAGGTTCCAAAGATTGTGTAAGCATCAGCCTCCATCACACTTTGCATCTGCCTCTGGTCAATATGCTAACTCTTAGAAAACTGGAAGAAATGCAGTAACAAAGATATACATTTGACTTTTCAAAATCTTATTTATCTAGCATGCCACATTTTCTTTCCTAGTGGAAGAAATGGTCTGGACAATCATACTAATTATTAAAACTGTGTATCTAAAACAGAATGCATGACTGATGATCTTGAAAGCTTTAAGAATGGAGTTTTAGAGACATGTAGACTTTGAGTAAATTCTGTTATATAGATTATTAGACTTTTGCTGAGATTCTCTTGAGAATGTCAAACATTAGAAAGTCTCTGTGGAATAATGACGCTCACTCTTTAATCTAGGTTTTGCTTTGTATGTTTCTCTAACGGCAGTAATAGTGCAAGATGCCAGTTTTGCTTTCCTTCCATTACCCTCCTATTGTATTTATCTTCAGAAAATGCTGAGAAATGACGAGAATGTCAGTGCATTATACATACAATAAACAGTCCTTACGTTTTATGATAGTATGAAGCATAAAATAGCCCATGCAAGCTGAAACCACATAATACGATCTTAATACTCAGTAGAACAAATTTTGATTGTTCTGTCATCTTTAAAAACGTCAAAACATTAAAAACTTTCTAATTGTTGATTATAAATGCAGAGAGCTGAAAAATAGTAAAACTAATATTTATTTAGTATGCTGTGACTTAGAAAATTAGAAACATTGAGAATTAAAGTGTTTTATTTCTTTGTAAAAAACTGTCACAAGTAATTTGAGCAAACTTGACTTATAATATAACTGACAATATGAAAAGAGCATCTTTTCTATCTCTTAGCAAATTGTCAGACTCCTTTCTAATTTAAATCAGCTTCAAATCTTTTATCCTTTCACTTTTACTATTGTGAACTACCTACTAGGGCTCCTACTGGTATCACTTCCCCTGGGAAACCTTTGTCTTTTTTGTCATAACCACTTTCCTCATTTATGTTGATGAGTTCACCTTCAGTAAGTCCCTTTGGTGGCAAATCTAGACTCTCTCAAATGGCAGCAGTGTCCACATATCCATGGTCATCTATTTCTATTATAACTTCATTTAGGTTCACTTTGAATTCCCCATCTAGTATTATCATTTTTTCATTTCTTTGGTGGACTTTAATCTTTGTTAGCTAATTCTTGCTTTCAATGACCCATTTTTACAAAATGTCATATAGGTTTTTCATGGAGAGACAAGGAGTCAAAACAACTACATGCCTTGCTGTCTCTGTGTAAACTGAATAATAGGTATATAGTTACCGGTACTGACAGGCTTTGAAACAAGTGATGTGATTGATCACTGGTTGTATTGTGCATCAGTTATCTGTCTGCTAGTGACTTGTAGCCTGGAGAGCCAGCAGCAAAGTTTGTCCTTTGTGCAATTATGCCTAGTTAGCTTACTGTGGTAACTGAAATTTGAACTGTGTTGTGAAGCTAGTGTTATCAAACCACTGTACTAAACCACAGTAACTGCAATTTTTTCATATTGGAACCGTGTAAAGCAAGAAATGCTCCCCCCACTTTATATATGAGGAGGGATCCAAAAAAAACTGGAATTATCCTTTGGAGGGCAGGTCCCTTATAGTACACCTAGAATTTGTTCCTTTGTCAAACTCCTTGTCAAAGTTTTTTATCTGGTAGTTTTGAGAAGTTTGCATCACAATTTGCAGAAGAAGTGTCCTGTGTTGTGGAAACCGATGATTGGTTCTTCCACCATGATAGCGTATCTGCCCACATTGCACTGAATGTTCAGCAGTTTTTGACCAAGAACGACATGACCCCCGTGACCCACCATCCCTATTCACCTGTTCTCACCTCGAGCTACTTTTTTGTTTCCCTGGATGAGAACAGGCCTCAAAGGGAATTGTTTTGTCAGTGTGGAAGACGTGAAACAAAAAAAGACAGAAACACTAAAAGGCATCAAAACTGACAAGTTCAGAAACTGTTTTGAGCAGTGGAAAAAGTATCTTGACAGATGTGTCACATCAAACAGAGAGTACTTTGAAGGTGACTGAAGTTTAAACATGTAAGAATAAATACACAATTTTTAATAAATAAATTTCATTTTTTGGATCTCCCCCATGATTAATTTTTAAAGTTAACTTTTAGCAAGAAGTTTAACAATCATGATTACACATAGTTTGAATATTATTTATTGTATAGGAGCAATATTATATTTTATAACCATATTTGACTATTTCATTAAAGACAATGTTATGATTTTTGTAGCATTTGAAAGGTAACACAAAACTGAAATGAACTGTTTATTTTTTTCCCCAGTTTTATGTATGGGGAATTGACTGACAAGAAGACCATTGAGAAAGTCAGGCAGACTTTTGACAACTATGAGTCAAACTGCTTTGAAGTTCTTCTGTACAAGAAAAACAGTAGGTATCTCAATTATTAGTAGAATGTGTCAACTCTATATTAATGTTGTGTTTTGGTAAGGGTAGTAAAGCTAACATGTAGAAAGAATATAAAATTATTATTGTTCCTTTTCTTGGTGAGGGCAGAGGTTGCTGATGAAATTAGATAACAAAATTAACAAATGATTCTACCTATAAAAGATACGCAGCAAAACATTTTGTAATTAATACTCATGGTCAAAATTCTATAATTATGTGACAGTAACTGAAAATAATATTGAAATTTATTAATTTCTTTTTTATGGTTAAAGGAAAAGATATTTGGTAACATTGGGCATCTGCATTGACCTTTCTATACAAACACAGGTAACGTAAATATGTGGTAGCTACTTGAGGTGAATCTTTACTAATATGGCCTTTTGCAGATTCAGACTGGTTGGTGTGAGGGGCTGGTGAGAGAAATCATTATTCTTGGAACAGACTATTTGTGGTTGGTAAAATTGTATTGATTGTTGTGAGCTGTTCTCTAGGATGGGTTTGGTACATAGTAAACTGTCCATTCTATAATGACATAATACCTCATGATATAGACTTTCCATCAGAGCTTTGAGGAAAAACAACAACCAAACAAAAAGCAGTGAGCACATTCAACAACTCACTCTCTTTCACTTTCTTTGCATGATTACTTACTTTTATCTCTTTTCGCTGCTTTCCCAGATTTTCTTTCTTTCTTTCTTTTTTGAAATGAACAATCCTTTCATAAGATGGGTCAATTTATTTAGTGTTAATGGTACGTGATAGCAAAGTTCATTATGATCTTTGGTGGAAATTAATGGTTATTAAGTTCTTCCCAAGTTTGGAAAACATTCTAGCTTCAACAGGAAACATTTGGTCCATGTTTGGTGCCTGTTGGATCTTGTGGAGCATAATTTATCCTCTTCAAACATTTTCTTCAAACATTTGTTCTCTATGTAATATTTGGAATGAAAATTTGATTTCTCTTTTTATTAGTAGACTAACAAAGGAATAATAACCTTGGGCATTTCTTCAGAGTAGTGCACTTGACAATGGGAACATTTGTCTTTAGTGGTTTTACCTAGGGAATATCTTATCATCTTATCTTTCATTTTAGAATCAAGGCCAAAGAGATATTTTAGCTTGAAGTCATAGCTAAATGTTAGTTGGCTTGTCACCTAGAAAGCAACCCATTCTGAATGATCAGTTCTGTCCTCTACAAGAGAAAAGGCAGGCTGTAGGTGGTTTTTTTTTTTTTTTTTTAACATCTTTTCACCAGGTCGAAATACATACTGATAATTTGTAGAAGGCCTGTATACCAAAGATCCCTCTATTTTCATATAGGTTTACTAATCCTTGAATAACTTAGATATGTACTCCAAGTTTAGGAAATAATGTAAGAATATTCCATTTTACTAAAGTCATTCATTTTGTCACTTAAGCAGAATAAACAAATCTTTTCCTGATTTTAAAGTATCAAAGACAAATCCATAGTTCCTGAGTTTCTCAAAAAATACCTTAGTGGATTTTCTGTTTTTGTTTATTTACTTTAAATTGTGTTAGGTGTTACTTGAACTTTGCATTTCTGAAAGTCTTTCCAGGGTGGTTTAGATATTTTGCTTTATGTGAATGTATTGAAATAATTATTTGACTGTGTTCAAGCCCATGTGGTTCTTTCCAGATAACCATCTCTCTATATAGGGGCCTGCTGATAGCCAGTAGGATATATACCCCACAGCACCATAGATTAGATTAGTACTCATGTCTTCTTTCTGTGTACCAACTGTACTGGGTTTTGTTTTTTGCTTTAATGAATAATAGGTACTATCCATGTTTCATAATGTAGTTCTGCTATTTAAAGTAAGTTTTTAAAAGTCTTATAAATAGCTGAAAACTTTTGAATGAATGTCAGCTGAAAAATGTGTATCCTTGTGATTTTTTGATATTAGATATAAATATTCATATCTGTAGAACTGTTTTGGGAAAGCCTGCATGCCAAATCCTCTCAATACTTTCATTCAGTAATTTGGTTAAACACTATTTTGCAAATGAGAAACTGAGGCATCTGATTTGGTATGTGTAACTACTGACATTTCAGTTTGCAGTCCCTGTTCCTTAGGTCCAGTGCTGATTAGCAGGAGGCTGTTTCTACTGTGGGGAAAGAAATAGTAACTCTGGGGTGATGATGTCAAATGGCTCTTTCTGCATACACAAAGGCAGAAAGAACTCTAATAGCTGGGACTGTTCCAGCTGATCAATATCAAGGCATTGTTTTTTTGAGTTTCCAGCAGCAACAGGCCTCTCTGCCTAACCTTCCCAGACTCCCCAGCCCCTTGAACCCAAAGTCAGAATATGAAGGATCTAGCATCAAGCTACTTACCCTGTGGCTTGAAAAGCTGAAAAAAAAAAACCCAAAACCAAAACAAAAAGAAAACCTTGATATTTAAAGTAGTTTTAAAGACAGCCCTGAACCTAGCCACCATTTGAAAAGTTGCTTTTTCCATAGTAAGACATGAAATGCAGCATCATCTCTTTCTGTTCAGTTTTCTAACAGACCCTGAAAAACAACTTACTTTTATTGCCCTTTTCTTTTTTGTTTATGACTCCTCTGTCTCAAACTCACTGTGTTGGAGTAGCCAGAGGCCATGCATCCACTAATGTCTGGGTCTGGTGATTTGTAAAACTGCACATCACTCACAGTTCCTAGATGTACTGTGTAAAATAAGAAAACAGGAAAAAGAATAAGCCTCTTTCGGTAATACTATGCTTGTTTTTGAGGTCCCTGTTTCTTTCTACCATCATTTTGGAAAGGGTCATGTCCTTCCATAGGCCCCCTAGACCTTCAAAAAACCAGGTTGTCAGAACAGAATATTCCCACAGAATTCTCCTGTCTCTAATTTTCTAATGTCTTGAGCCTTGCAGTTAAGTCATCTCATCTTGTCTAAATGAAAAATTCCCCCTTGTGGTGACATTAGGTGACTATTTTTTAGGCCACAGGTGACAAGATGCTTCTTATTTGGTTTGTATTGAGAGGCACTAAAAGGCTATAAGCTCTCACTTATAGACTATTAATAGCTGCACATTTCACTCTCCAAATTCTAAACTTTACAAAAACCTTTATGTCTTAAGACAGAATATTTGGAAGGGCTTTATTGCATTGTAGCTTGGAGAAAATATGATGAAAGATGTGTCTTTTTTTATTCTGATGGTATGTTCCTTCAGTGTTTTATCACTTGGTAGATAATTACTCCTTTGGAGGCATTTCTTGTGCCTTCACTTATCTGTTATTTGGCATATGTCAGTTCCTGATTTGTCCAAGTCATAAGCCTTGACTGCTTTGAAGCCCTCTAGAGTCTGCAGCAGCCATCCTTTGAAGATCATGGTGACAGAGTTCAGTTTCATGCTTTGAAAGAAGTGGGGAGGAAGCAGTGGCTCATGAAGATGCCTGAGGATCTTAACGACTAAGGACACGTGTGTTTTTGTTAAGGTTATCTTAAAGGTCTCAGGCAGAGCTCTGTGTACTTCAGGCATCAAGTGTTGCTGACATTCTTTCTCTCTCTGATATGGTGATGCAACCAAAGCCATAGAGCTATCGTGTAAGTCTACCTGACCGATGAGAAAGCCTTGGGATAGAAACAGCATTTTGGATGTTTCTCCAAGAGGGACACTTATCAGAGCATCAGGTATTGCTGTTGCAGTTAATTGGAAACACTTGTCAAAATGACAAGAAGAGAAACGCATGTAGGAGTGATCACATTTGGTAAGACTATCAGAGGGAAGTTGGTGAGAGCAGCAGTGATTTAGGGACCCAGACCTAAAGGTGATGCTGACATTACTTACGTAGCAAGAATGCCATTGTGCTTCTGCATTGTGAAATGACACCCTGCACTTTACTTTAGAATTTTGATATTTTGGATTGAAAACTACATTTGTTAATTTAAACAACTGGTAATTGATCCAAAATAATGCTTTGCAGCAATTAAAATACTTTTGTGCTGATTACTACCATAGCATAGCTGCTGGTAGCTGATGAACAAGGGAAGGCAGGAAACCAGACCACTGTGGCCATGTCTATTGTCCTTTTCTCCTTTCTCTTTCTTTCTGTTACAGGAACCCCTGTTTGGTTTTATATGCAAATTGCACCAATAAGAAATGAACATGAAAAGGTGGTCTTGTTCCTGTGCACTTTCAAGGATATTACGTTGTTCAAACAGCCAATAGAGGATGATTCAACAAAAGGTAATTTTCAAAAGAATTACTACACTTACGAATTGGGCTAAAAGATCTCATTATTATTATTATTAAGCTAGAAAACAAAATTCTCCTATGTGGCTCTCCTTTTGCTTCACATTTACACTAGTGATTGCTCAGAATCTGTTTTATTCAATCATTTTTGTTTGAATGGACATAGTGTGCTATCCCATGTGGAAATAATGGTTGATTAAGTTGTAATAGGAGGAATTGAGATAAGACATAAGGAAGAAATGTTACAGAGCATAGTTAATTTATTATTAATTTATTTTTTAGTTAACTTCAGATTCCGGGTGTACATGTGCAGGTTTGTTACATGGGTATGCTTTGTGATGGTGAGGTTTAAATTTCTATTTCTTTTCTATCTTTTTTTTTTTTTGAGTTGAAGTCACACTCTGTCACCCAGGTTGAAGTGCAGTGGCATTCATGGCCACCCCAGAGTCAACCTGCTGGGTTCCGGTGATCTTTACGTCTCGCCTTCCAAAAAGCCGGAACTACAGGCATGTGCTACCATGCTTGGCTAATTTTTGATTTCTTGTAGAGATGAGGTCTTGCCAAGTTGCCCGGGCTGGTCTTGAACCCATGGGCTCAGGCAATCCACTCGCCTCAGCCTTCCAAAGTGCTGGGATTACAGGCTGAGCCGAGGTTTGAGTTTCTATACAGCCTGTCACCCAAATGGTCAGCATGATACCCAATGGGTCATTTTTCAACATTTGCCTTGTTTCCTTTCTTTTCCCCTTAGTTGTCCCCAGTGTCTATTGTTTCGATTCTTATGACTAAATTATTAATTTAGAATCAATATAATCTGGTTGGTTGAGGTGTGGCTCACACCTGTAATCCCAATACTTAGGAAGGCTGAGGCAGGGGTATCGCTTGAGGCCTGGAGTTTGAGACCATCCTAGGCAATATAGTGAGACTCCATTTCTACAAAAAACAACAAAAAAAGAATCAACATAATTGGAGTTTGGGCACCCTATACCAATGGTGAACTTTAGAACCAAGAGTGTGAAGGTTTGAGTGAAGGTGGACTAGAGCTCAGTTGATTGAATTTTGTTTTATTAGTTGACTTTTTCAGGTTACTTTTCAGTTTTTATTTATTCAGTTGTATATTATCTTGGGCAGATATTGTTAGTTATATAAAGACTAATTTTGTCATGAGGAGAGTGGCTGGCAAAATGTAAACTGGAATCTTATTGACTATAATATCCAAAGAGACTGCTTTAGAAACCAATAGTCAGTGGTATGTGCTTATACCTATTTTTCTATGTAATTTATTTCTAATTTATTCTCTCCAATTAGAAACTTGTGTCATATAAATGAAGAATTTCAAATACTCTTATAAGTAATTTTTATGAAATGTTATTTTTAATAATCTCTTAGGAAACTAAAAATAAAATGTCTTCTTCCTTGCATTTGGCGAACGTTGCTTTTTCTTCTTTAAAAAAAAAACTAGCACAGAAGCTTTAATCTTTCCAACTGTAATCGTAATTATAGAAAAAAATCACATTAGGTTTATTCCTTGCTTGTGAATTCACATATATAACATTGTATCTGCTCAGTTCTGGTTAGCATCAAATTGCAAGAGGAGAAATTTTATAAAGTGCACACCATTCAAACTATGACATAGAAAATTCATTTGTACTTGGAAGACCAAGTAAAATATTCAATTTTGAACCCATATGCCCTGTTCTTTTGTCTTTACACATAGATCTAGTCCCCAAGAAATTTAAGATAGGTGCAAATTCTATTTTTCATAGAATAGTCTTTAAATAGTATTTCATTTTAAAGCTCATTTGCTTGTTTTAAAATTATAGTGCTGCATCCAACAGCTGGGAAATACATATTCTCAACCTCACACAGAGTAGAGCATTCACCAGGTAGACCACATTCTAAACTATAAAACATATTTCAACAAATATAAAAGAATAGAAATTTTTAAAAGTATGTTCTCTGACCACAGTGAAATTAAATTAGAAATCAATAGCATAAGCGAATCTGGAAAATCTCCAAATATTTAGAAAATAAGCAGCAAATTTGTTAATAACCCATGGGTCAAAGAAGAAGCCTTAATATAAGTTAGAAGAATATCGTGAACTAAATAAAATTGGAAATGCAAATTGTCAAATTTGTGGGATGCAGCAAAAACAGCTTAGAGGGAAATATGTAACATTTAAATGCATATATCAGAAAAGAAAATAGATATAAAATCAGTAACTTAAGATTTTGCCTTAGGAAACTAGACAAAAGCAAATTAAACCTAAGCTGAAGACAATAAATAATAAACCTTAGAGCAGAAATCAATGAAAAAGAAAACAGGACAACATTATAGAAAATCTCCCAAACCCAAACCTGGCTCTTTGAAAATAGCATTTAAATTAATAAACCTCTAGCCAGGCTAACCAAGAAAAAAGGGAGAAGATACAAATTGCCAATAGGAGAAGTTACTACTCACCTTATGGACATTAAAATATAACAAAAGATGACTATGAACAACTTGGTCACCACTGATAAATTGGATGAAGTTGACCAGTTCCTTGGAACATACACACTGCTAAAACTCACACATGGAGAAATAGATAATCTCGATTGCACTGTATCTATTTTTAAAAATTAACGATAATTGATAATCTTTCAAAACCAAGAAAACACCAGGTGAAGATGGTTTCATTAGTAAGTTCTACCAAACATTTAGGGAAGAAATATTACCAGTTCTCTTAGTCTTCTCCAAAAATGGAAGCAAGAGAACTTTCCTAACTCATTTCATGAGGCCAGCACTACTCTTATACCAAAACCAGAAAAGACTTTGCAAAAAAGGACAACTGTGCTCCAATATTTTTCATGAATATAGGTGTAAAAATCATCAACAAAAATTAACTCCAACAATGTCTAAAAAGAATTATACATGGCAACCAAGTGGGGTTTATCTTGCATATGCAAGGCTGGTTCAGTTTTCAAAAACCAGTCACTGTAATCTACCATATCAACAGGACAATTAAGAAAAATCATGGTTATACCAGTTGGTATAGAAAAAACACTTAATGAAATCCAACACTCATTTATGATAGAAACTCTCAGCAAAGTAGGAATAAAAGGGAACTTTTTCAATTTGATAAGGAACATCTATGAAAAACCTATAACTAAGTATAAAAAAGGCCCTACGACTATTTTTAAATAAAAGATAAATGATTGGCATGTGATTTATGACCTAATGTTTTCTCTGAATGAATTTTTCCTTGCCTTCACACGTGAATGACAGACTGAGTAAAAAACTTTTATATTATAGTCTTTCTCTCTAAAAAAAAAAAACCCATATGTTTTTATATTAGGTAAGTATTGTTTTCTCTCATTTACTGTAAGTTATTTTGTGGCCCAGCTGAAGTTGGCTAAGAAGAATACAGTACTTTCTCACAGTTTTGACCTGCTGAACCTATTTATGGTGGTGTCAGTAACTACATATTTATTTATGGAAACTCAAAGTTGGCAGCGTTTTACAATGAGATTGGGGGAAGGGTTGACTTTTATTTCTGAAATTGATAGCTCTCCATTTATCTGCATCCCCACCTGGGAATCACAGAATTCTTTGTAAGGCACAGTCTCTTTTAAATGAATAATTCATTTTCATAAAAAATGATATTTGAATAAGCTCCAGACAACTCAGACCACTTGATTTTTGAACTATGGGTTCGATAGACATGTAAATTAGAATTTATAGGGAAAATCAGACCCCATTGTGAAAAGCATTAGAGAAAACTATCTCTTTCCAGGACCAGAATTTGTAGATAAGCTTATTTTAAAGAGACTTTTATTTTGAGACTCCTCCATACTCTTCAAATACATAATGGATTACTGAAAAAGTATTGCAAAATATAACTGTGAATGACGTATATGAGCTATTTTCCATTAGTCATGCACACTGTACATTTAATATGAAAAGTTTAATAGAAATAAAATATTTATGCCATCAAGTCATCATCCTACTATATCTGTGAAGCAAGCACAATAGGAAGATATGTTTTGAAACATTAGTATAAGAATATATCTTTCAACTTTTGAAATCAAGTTAAGGGAACCTTGGAAGTTTAGGAAAAAAGCAGATGAGTTTCCATGATGATACCATCATATTAACATAATATGGGTCTAGAGCATTAAACTTGGAGACAGTTGACTTGCTTTTGATCCAGCCATGGACACCAGAGTTATTGAACATGAACTGTTATGGAAATATTTTGGTCCCCTTATATTACATCTGTCTCTATTTTCCCAACCAAAAATGCTGATTGAGCATACAGTATGGTGCATGCTGTATTCTAGGTCCTGAAGATACAAAGTCTCTTCTCTCATTTTCCAATGAGAGAGATGGAAACAAGTAAATATACAATGGAAACATTCTCTTCTGATTGCTCTTGTTTTCTCAGAAAAACAGAAAGTGAGGATGAGAATAAGGATGGTGAAAGATGTGAGGAGAGTGGAGTAGGTGTGAACTGGTTCTCTAAGAAAGTGGAACAGTGAGTGGACAAGGGAGATGCAACAGGCTTGCTGGGCAGCATGAAGGTCCACTTGAAGCTAGTGGTCATCCATTTCACTATTATCCATGGGCATAGTTCTGTGTTTTCATACACCCATATTTAGTCAGAGAAGTGTAGATGCAGAAGCAGGTGAAAAGTTGTATTTCTCCAGAGTTGGTATATGATCAGGTGAGTAAGACAAGAAGAACAAGGGAGATCAAGAATCAGGGAGCTGATGATGTTTGCAAGGGAGTAGGGTGAGGGTGTTTGCAAAATTTTGAAGACACATTTAGGTGATAAAAGTTCTGCTAGTATACAGGAAATATTCTTTTAGCATTCAGAACAGACAAGTGAACTGACACACTGGTAAAATCAGAATTTAGTCCCAGAATAAGGACTTTTTACCTTAACATAAGAATGGGCCCATGACTGGAGCAAGGGCCTAAGTCCTTTGAGCATTTGCCAACACTGGGTGGAATTGAC